CACAGAAGACCATAAAAACGAGTGTACCCAACACATCAAATGCCACGAGTTTTCATGGATAGATAAAGCAGGAGTAAGAGAAAACCAGAGCCCTGGGCTGGGAGGAAATTTAGAGACCATTCTAAGGAGAAATAAGGCTTGCCAACACTTCAGTGAGGAAGCAGTTTAGGGAACCTCAAGAAAACACGAAGGAGACTATCTTTACTATACAAGGATGAAAGCCGATAGATGAAACTGATTTTAATACCAAAGATAATTCCAAAGTGGCTTCTCATTCTATAAAAGATTCACAGCAAGGTTCCATTAACTAGCCTGCTCTCCTAGTGCATTTAAAGTGGGATTCCACAGACAAACATTCAGTTGTCATGTATCTTTGTAAAAAGTCAATAGCTATATATACCTATCCAGACAGGCAATCTTCAAACGGTTGTTTCTAGTTCAGTTGCAGAGACCCTGCTGAGCTAAAAGCATAGGTTCCTTCTCCAAAACTCTCTCCTCACTCAGCTGAAGGAGGGAAGGGGTGGAGCTCAGTTCTGCCACCTCATTCAGAAGCAGAAGCAGACCTAACAGTCTGGAGAACAAGGAAACATGAGGACGGCACAGCTTGAGAGCTGGAAACTCCCTTAAAGATCACCTAAGCCAAGGCCTCTTTTTGCAAAGGGGGAAATGGAGACTCAGTGGGGGGAAGTGACTTGTCCCGAGTCATCCAGTGATTTAGTGGCAGAGAATGATGCTAGGATCCAGGCAGACTGCTTCTCTCAGATGGAAAAGCTGACTTAAATACCAGATGTATTTCTTCCTGCTGCTAAAATTTCAGGCCATGAGGCTCCTGGCTCCTGGCTTGATGCAGGTAAGAGTTGGAAAGGACAAGTAAAATGAACTGGAAGCTTGTGGGCTCACCATGAGAGTCGCCAGTGGAAGGCGACTGAGGCAACCAATGTCACTGAGGTCTGCGCTCCACCCCCTCCACCACCACTTTTCTCTCTCCTTTCCTTCTCTCTCTTCAACTCCAGCGTGATCCTAGGCTTGGCCAGCTGCCCAGCTCTACACAATAGCCCAACAGCTAATGAGTCTACCTAACTCAACAAGCCATTGTCTAGGCAAAATGTCTCCACTTCAGGCCAGGGGTGACCCCTGCTCTGGGTGGGTCAACGTTCCCACAAAAGCCACACACATTTCCTTCACAGTTTGAACAGTTTTGTGGATGTTCTGGTCATTGTTACCTCCGATCTGTTTTTTTTTTTTTTTTTGGAAAGAAAATTCTTACCCATAGGCCTCTGAGGGAATGCCCAACTACCCTCTGGGGAGCCTGAATTTGCCTCTGCCTCCATCTGGTCTCGTTTAATGGGGATCTGAAAAAAAAAAAAAAAAAAAAACAGTTCTTGGTTCTTTGCCAGTGCTCAGAGCTGGGGGCCTCTGCTGTGAAAGGAAACTGAACACCACCTCGCACCTCATCAGGGCTGTGAGAGTAGAGCTCTGCTCCTGTTACCCCAGGGCCCTCGTTAGGGGTTTGAGAGAGTCCTGGCAGGGAGAACCGGAACCCTGAGGCTTGTCCCTGAGACAGCCTGGAAATCTTTCCCTGGTCACAGGAATGACCCAACTCCTGGGGCCAGCTGAGAGCCTGCTGCATAATTCAGCAGATGGCTGTCTCTAGTGGGAAGACACTGGAGAAGAGGGTAGCATTAGTTCTCACTGTCCTGAGCATGTGGCCTCCTTCCTCTGTGCAGGCAGCCTAGAAACCCACGGTTTCAAATCCCGGCAGCAGAAGCAGCCTCCTGCCAAACAGAGGAGGAAGGGGTCTGTGTTTCTAATTTATTCTGTACCCCCTCCAGTTGTTACTTAAAATAATCCATCATTACATGGCTGGTGGCTCCAAGATTTTTATTTAAAGCAATATGGAGATAGGGAAAAAAAAAGAAAACCCACACAACCCGTGACTGTGCTATCTTGGATTTAAGTTGAGACTCTTTTTAACATCAGAGAGTTTCTACATCACTCAAGTCTGCTCTTCTCTGACCGCTTTGGGAATGTTGGTGCATGCAAGGAGATAAGGGGGAAATGAGGACGTGGCAGAATTTTAATTTCTTAGAAACACCTTGGAAAGGCCGGCACCTTTAAAAAGGAGTCTGTGATCTGGTAGGTGTTTCATTGTTCTATCCACTGAGCAGCAATAACACTCTGGACTAGGTCTCTTGATTGCTGCAGGCATAACACGAAGAGACCAGGAATACCTGTCCAGGAAGTTGTTGGGGGAAATGGAATCATACAGATAGAAGCATTTTGAGAGAGCTAAGCATGTCCCATCTATGCAAGGATTCCTTTATTCTTTTTCTTTCGTTCCTCTTCTTCCTCCCTCCCCTCTCCATCCCTTTTCTTTCTTTCCATATGTGTTATACGTAGTTTCAATGCACATACAAATAAAGGCCTTCTCAATTTTTCATGCTGATATTAAGTCATGGCTTTGACAATCTAGAAATCCCAGCAAGTCTGGAAACCAGCTCTATTTAATTTTATAATAGTGCTTTCCCCCCTCAGCAGACTAACTTTCCTAATTAGTTTTGTTCAAGTTAAAGCAATGGGGTTGTTCCCTTACAGAACACAAGGTGTGGGACCATGCTAGTAACAAAGCCAGTAATTAATAGAATATTTATATCAGACACTCCACAAAGTAAATGCTATGCATATGATTGCAGATCAAATTCTCCTCGTATTATACATATCTATTAGTCTACTGTAATGAAGTTTTGTAATAAATACACCACTAACACTCACATTTCCTGGATTTAAAATGTCAAGAGGAAACAGGGCTCATCTGGCAGCTCTGAGAAGGGGCAGAGTTCCTCCATGCTTTGGCCACCACTACATCCCCAGCACTTGGCATAGGACCTGGCAGAGTCAGTGCCTGATAAATAAACGTTGGAGAATGAATGAAAACAGCAGTGGGTGAATTGACAAATGAACTGTTCCAAGCAAGTAGCAGATGTGTGATCTCACCCATCTTCACACCTACCCTTTTCCTATCCAGAGCCCCTCAGGAAGCCTCTCCTATCGATTACAGTCTTCATCCATAGCTGAATTAGGTCCCTATAATGACTTCTCATGGCAGCCAGTTCTCCTCTTTAGCACTTAGGATAATGATAATTAAATAGGGATTTTTAAAATTTATTGTGTCAGTATGCAGGAGGAGGCGATTTGCATGCCATGGCATGTGTTCAGAGGCCAGAGGGTTTTATTGAATCTAGAGATCACCTGAAATATCAGGCTTCCATGTTAAGTGTTAAGTTTTCTTTTCCCCACTGAGCCTCGCCCTACATAAAGATTTGTGTCTGCCTCTACCATTAGACTGGGAACTCTTTTGAAAGAAGAGGCTTACAGGAAGGGTTGGCACTGTAACACTCGCCCCACCCCACCCCCCACCGCCCCTTTTTTTTTTTCTCAAAAGGGT